ACATTCTAACCGACTACTGAAGTTGTCTTAGCGCGGAATCTCTTGAAACACTTGTTTGCTACTGACATTGGCTCTTGGCATGGCGTCGAGCTCAAGAGTCGGGGTATGAATTCAATTTTGAACATTATATGAAAGCAACCATAGATGGAAGCCCTAGTTCTGATGAATAAGTTATAAACTTTTTTATGTTAATGTAATTAGTTTTTTTAGGTGACTGTTATATAAGCTTCTTTGAGGGTTTCTTTACGGTTCTTTACCTCATCGTTTTTTTTGAACCACCAGGATATTAAATGTAGCTGTTCGTGTATTAGTATTACTCATTTTTCAATATTTAAATAACAACTACATTTTAAATCTTTTATTTCATTATTTGATTTATTTCTTTAATAATTTCACATTTACAGTTTTACACTTTTAAAATTTAAAAAAAGGGGGGGGTTTCCGAAACCGGCCGGTACGGTACCAGAATCAGTACCGTCGGTCCGGTGATGGTAACGGTAGCTAGGGGTGGCGGTACCGGAACTGGAAGCGTTCCGGAACTGTATCGTGTCCACCCCTATTCACAATGCAATCCAAGATTTTAAACATCCCATAATTTTTTTTGGAGATTAATTTCTATTTACGCATTCTAAATATCATCCGTAAAGCCTAGATTTAAATACTACCTTCGTCCCAGAGTATTTGTCTACTTTCATTTTTACACACCATCCAATGCACTTCTTTAATCCATTTTATCTCGTAATTTGTATATTAAAAAATTATAGAAATTATATATTAATAATCTATATGTTAAGACAAATCAAACAAGATCACACATAACTATATTTAGGCTTACACATTGAGAGAATTTGATGAGTCAAAGTGCTTAGATGAACACTTCCAAAATTCAAAAGTGAACGAATACTCCAAGAGGGAGTACTTTGTAAGTTCTCCTAAAAAATACCCTGTATGTTCTTTTATAAATAAGGTTCAAAAGATATGGGTTTCCATATCCAAGATATGAAATTTCTAAAATACTCCCTCCGTCCCAAAAAGTTTGTTACGTTTAGAAAAAACTGCGTCCCGTAAAGTCCGTTACATTTCTATTAAAAAACCACTTTTACCCCTTACTTTTTCATACCCTACCTATCACATCATACCTTTTTCCTAATAATCTACCCATCACATCCTACTTTTACCTATCACATCAAGGGTATTTTTGGAAAGTCAATACCAAAATATCCCTCCCTTAATTTCCCAAAAAGTCAAACCGTCCCATTCTTTTTGGGACGGATGGAGTATATGTTTGGTGAATCTAAAAAGGAATACAGAATTGAAATCTGGAGATTAGGTAGTGTTTGGATAGGAGATTTCATTTCAATTTCTGAATTTCAATTCTATAATTTGAAATTCCATAATTCAAATTCCATTTTGGTGTTTGGCAAACACAAGAAATTCAAAATTCATAATTTCAAATCCAATTGCTGTTTGGGAAATTCATAATTTCAATTCTAGAATTCAAATTCTAGTGTTGTTTGGGAAGTACTAGAATTTCATTTCAAATCTTTAATGAATAAAATATTGTAAATACATAATCTCAAATAACATAATGACCAATTGTTTCATTAACAAAATACATACTAATGTATGACAATTAGAAAAAGTATTAATTTGTAGCACATATTTAATATTGCATAGTTGTTCAAAATTCGATCACTCTTCCAAGCAGATCAAAATCCAATCTAGCTTCTCATTTTCAGGCAAGTCCTTGTTCAAAACTTGATCACACTTCATCAGCATCTAGTAGTTCATCTACTGACACGAATCGTTCTTCAACCTACAATAATATATATATATATACACACACACACACACACACACACTCCGTACGTAGCAGTCCACTTTCTACTACTCTGTATATTACAAAATATAAAAAACAAGGCCATAATAATAATAATAACAAATTTTGTTCTTTAAGAAATGGTTTTAGAGCTAACTGGCCGATCCAAAGGAAGCCTCCCAGTTCAACCAGTTTTAGTTTTAGTATGAAATGATTAAAGCTGCACATACACGACACTCCAAACAGAGCAAAGTATTGGATCTCAGTACAAAAGAGTGATCCAAATCTAATAAAAGATACTAAAATGCTATGGGTACACCAAAGGTGTACCCCAAATGTCTCCCACTCCCTCCTTGTCCACTAAAAAAGACAAAATAGTTCAAAAAAATAAGTAAATAAAAATCAAATAAAATGTGTGGAGGAAAAAAGGGTAGTGTACATTTGGGGTACACCTTTTCCCTAGCATTACTCTAGAAAACAACATGCACCACTAAATTCCATTGTCAATAGAGTAATAATACTACAGAGGTCACAACTAAGAAGTATTTACTGATGTGACTCACTATATCAGATTTCCTAATCTATGTATGTCCAACCAGTCTGACTATAGAGGTAGATGCTCAGAAATATAAATAGACACTATGGTCATATAATCTTGAATGAATTCTGATATGGTTCACTGCACATTCCATTAGGGGTCTAGATCAGGATCTGTTTATTATCAAAGACAACTGGTTGAGTTATCCCAGCTTGACCCATCCTAGAGACATGCCAAAGAGGAAAAGAAAAAACAGATAATGACTTACTGTGAAAAAAAGTGTTCAAAATTCAAACACAATTATTCCCACCAACACCAACTTTATCTCTGTACTATAGCAACAATAACTGATGATATATGAAAATAAGTAACCAAACAATTCCATATGCAAGGGCACACACAAGCACACTCAAATGACGCAAATAGGTTGAAACCAGATTCAAAACCATCAGAAAAATCTGATTTTGTGATTCGGGAAAAAATCAAACAAAAATCGATGCACATTCATTCATTCATCATCCTCAACCTTGGACTTTAATGAAACCATAGCTAGGGCTAAAAAAATGGTTTCTAGATATACCTGGATCGGAGTTTTTAGCTAGGGAAGAAGGAGGCGGTGGACGCGATTCAGACCTAGCCGCTCGGATACTCTCGATCGAAAGAGATGAAAGACGCAAATTGGAGATAGGCGATGGACGAGAAGGATCGGCGATGGACGTGAGAGAGGAGTGAATGTCCAGGCGTAATTTTAATTTTAATTGGGCTAGGGAATTCAAATGACATGGGTTTGGTATGAATTTGGAATTGGGTTGGTTATTAATGAGAGGAATTTGGATTAAATCCAAATTCAAATTCTTTAGATTCCCAAACAAGGTATTTGTATCAAATCTGGATTTTAAATCCAAATCCAGTTTCCCAAACAGGCCATTAGGGAATTCGGCACAAGGAGCGCGACTCCATATCTGATTAATTTGGCGAATATCAATCTTAAGCTTCAAAGCCCTCCATCCTTTTAGCCAGTATCTCAATTTTTCAGATTTTTTTCTTTTCATTTTTTCTTTTACCTTTTCTCTACCATTTTATTTATAAAAACGAGCATGCAATTTATAGAATTGATTGCTCCAACATTGTGCAATTTCTAATTTTGTCCTCTCTTTTATCTATTCATTTTTTCACAGATTTTACAATATTTTTTTAATTGTTTGAATCTAAAATAGTATCACTTCTTCTTCAATTTTTGACCAATTTTATGGAAAATCTTGTTTAAAGACTGTTTTTAACAAATTTTTATCACAAATTGTTTGGTGTTTAGCTTGTTTTGCGTTTATTTTTTTTGTACATTTGATTTCTCAATTGCTCACCAAACAATTATGTTTGTAATTTGATTTCATTTTTATTTTCTCCAAACACTTTTCTTTTAGATTTCAAAACTCATATCGTTTCTTTCAGATTTAATAACCCATATTTTATCATATCCTCAAACTCACCAACAGATCCTAAAGATGATTCCAAACCATAATTAAAAAAAGCATGGGCAAAGAGAGAATAGCAGCTAGGGAAAAGATCGATTTGAGGGAAGAGTTTGTGCAAATTTATTGGAATAATTAACTGGAATGAATGGATCCTAATTAGTTGAGATGTACGTCTATACTCTGAATTTCCTAGAAGGCCCTTGCGTGTCAATGATTAGTGAAGCAGATCCAACCGTGGTGAAGATGTTAGAGATAGAAGAAGGAAGCGGGATTGGGTTTCTTTCTTCAATCCCGCTTTCTTCTTCTGTCTCTAACACTTTCCTTCTTCAATCCCGCTTCTTTTTTCTAACTCTAACAAAAGCTTTCTTATTTCTTTGATAAGATCTTATTCTCACCAGATCAGATGACACGTTATGGTTCGACGATCAAATGACATAAAACTCACCACTACACACTACAAAGCTTACAAAATGTCAATGCAAAGCTCCCCAAGCTGTATGGCAAAGCTGACATATTTTTTTCATCACTTTTTTTTTCATAAAAAGAAATTAAAGGAGTGGACTTTGACCCATGTTGGTTGGACTTTGACCGCTGACTGCCTCCGCTAACCTCCGCTTATCGCCATCTGTTGTTGGTCGCCGCCGCCGACCAGTGGTTTACCGGTGTTGTTAATTTATTTTTAATTAAATTTTTTATTTTTAAAGTAAAAAAAGGGTGAGTTTTCTTGTTCAAAGTGACGAGCTTTGCTTAAATTCTTGGTGAGCTTTGCATTGACAATTGGTAAGCTTTGTAATTTGCAGTGGTGAGCATTACGTCATCTGGTATTTATTCCACACACGCACATAAGAACTTAGAGCGTTCTTCAAGCTTCAAAAGTAATTGAGGAATTGAAGAAGAAGAATTTGATAAAAGTGAGAAGAAAGAGGTAGATGGGGAAGAGAGAGTAGGTAGAAGATTCGTAGATAAGAGAGAGAAAAATTAGAGTTTGGGAAATTGATGCTATATACGGAGTATATATTCTTGATAAATCTAAAAGTAGGGATTACATATTTATAAATACAGGGGGAGATAGAAACCATAATACCGAGTAATTTGGAACAAAACTACGATCGACTTGAATTTATGTTTGTTTTAGTCTCTCCTTTCGTCCCAACTGCTTTTCGCCGCTTCTTAATTGTAGAGTCATTTAATTCAAAACTAGAAAATGAATATATAAAAAGAGGCGGGGCCGAGGCTGTGATCAATCAACAAAGGTTCCAAATGAATGAATTAATTAAAATTAAATACGGAGTACAATAATACACAGAAAGAAAAATAATGCACGGTGATCGAGTAAGGAAGGGAATCCAGTAAGTAAAGGCATGCACGCACTCGAGTTAGCCCGCAGCAGCATTATATCTGGCTATAGCTTCAATTCGAATTTATTTTTTAGTAGCATTCCCATCAAAAAGCTCGTCAATGTAAGTTTCGATATCCTCAGGCTGGTACTTGACATACTTCTCCGTCTGTCTCCCTGGGGTAAAGGTTTGACTGAACCTAGCAAGAAAGGATCGGTAGGCGGGGATGACCATATTGGAAATTGAAACCCGGAGTTCGGATTGAAGTTGTTCGTCAATTATTACCCAGGTGGTTTGAGTCTTGTGTATCTCGTCGAACACCGCATTGAAGCTCTTGAACCTCTCTTTCAACACAGGTTTGTTAATCTTCCCATGGACGTTCAGACCCTCAATGCTCAAACACTGTAACAGTCTTCCCCAGGTTTCCCGCTGGTACGTCTTGTGGTACTGTCTCAGATCTGAGGACCGTTTTCTACACCATTGGTCCCCCATCAAGGCATTGATCTGCGGAGAACCCCTCACTTTCTGTAGTATGTATCTCCCGTTGTTCATCATGAAAATGGAGCAAAGGGAGGGGTCCTTGTAGAGCTTAGATTTGTTTTCCAGGTTCACATCCAGCAGCTCCATCACTTTGGCTATCTGCATTTCCAAGGGCGATTGCCGCCTGGGTGTGGCGGCAGCCGTGTGACCCTGATGATGATGACCACCAGGCTGCTGCTGGGAATTAGAGTTGTTGTTGTTGCTGCTGCTGCTGTTGTAGTCGAAGTCTGATCCTGTTGCAGAATCCGCTCTGTCGATCTTCTGGTGCTCTCTGAACACTTGCTCTAGCGTCTCCTTGTAGTCGCTAGCTAATTTTAGATAGTTCATAATGTAGCGAGTGAGGGGATGAACCGCACCCCCTGGAACAGGGGTCTTTCCAGAGTCTGCCTTGATCGAGTTTTCCAGCTCCGTGAAAATTGAGACCATCGCCTCCCCCAGCCTACCCCTGGTCAGGGTTGCTTCCGCCTTCAGCTCCCCTATGCACTCCCCGGGGATGTTTGAGTACATTGTAGGGAGAAGGTCTCGCATCGCCTCGTACAGATCCAAGAACTTGAACAGCTTCTCCGAGGAGCGTTTTGTCATTGCCACCGCTTCAGGGAAAACAAATAACTGGAGCACGAAACCCATGGATAAGCCACCGAAGATGATGATGCTCGATGATGACGACCCATCATCACCACCACCACCATCGCCACAGTTACAAAACACGGCATCACACAGCTTCCTTTCGCAGGAGAAGGTCACCTCGGCGCAATGCTTGAATGTTGCGATCCAGGCAGCAATCTCTCTCTCCACAACCTCCCAATTCATCTTCTGCACATCATCGATGCTGTGTTTCTCGAACCCAACCTTGCGGAGGCATTCCTCCAACGCGTTCCTTCGTGATATCGTGTATACCTGCAGGCATTCCGTCTTGTAGCCACAGAAAATCATGGCCCTGGCTAATCTGTTCAAATTGGACACTGTTTCATCAGGGTATGCGGGGAACTTATTGTCTTCTGCAACCGCCGTGGTGGTGGTGGTGGTGGTATCACTACCACAACCATCTACTACCTCCTCAACCGCGGCATCATCACCAGCCAGATCTGCAGGGGACTCCTGGTTGGGCAGATCGGCAGGATCGGGAAACTTATAATCTTCAAGGTATGATCGGAATTCCTCTTCCAAGTAGGACACAGCCCGATGGAGGACGCCTCCCACCCGGCTGATGTATCGGGCGTATGTTTGTTCTGAAGAGGGATTGATTTGATGAGACGAGAGGAGGAGTGATTTGGATAGCCTCGAAACCCGATTCACGGCACCCAATAACGAGGCCGTCTCTTCTTCACCTAGTTGGCTCCATTTGGACACACTCCTGATTATTTCCTCCAACTTGGCTTCCACAACCGATGCTAATTGGTCCACACATATGGGAATATCAACAGGAAGCTGCGATCCATCACCTCCTTCCACGGAGATGTTGTTAATTTGAGAGATGAACTGATCAACCTCATCCGATACCGTCGAAAGATCGAGAGGGAGCTCTGTGATGATCTCCTCCTCCTCCTCCTCCTCCTCCTGAGAAGCCAACTCTGCTCCCTTATCCTCCGCATTGGCGGAGGTGGTTGCTTGCCGGCCGTCATCTCCTGTTTGAATCTGGATGCCGTCATGATCGGCAGCTGCCGCCCGTGTCTCCTGTCCTTGATCCTCATCACCCGTAACCTGAATTTCATCTTCATCATCAGGTTCAGCGTCAGGAACGGTGTTGGTTGGTGGTAGTAGCTTCACCGGGGGAGAATCACCCATCATCTCTTCATATGCGTCGTCCTCATTTTTCGTCTCTATGTTGTGAGTGTCATTTTCTATGCCATTCTCTTTCTCCGTATCCATGTCGTTATTACTCTATAAATTCATTAATGGAACGCTAGCTAAGATATTTCCTTGTTTGAAATTTTACAAAAGACATGAAAGGCCGAAAATAGTTGAGAGAAAAAACTAGGATGAAGATGTTGAGCTTGTAAATGCGTATGGGCAACGCGAAATAAAAGGAGACATTTGCTCACAGCTCTTCCTTAATCGTTCCTTCTCCTCCAGTATTTGGTCTCATTTCTTCCGCTTTTTTTTTTAAAAAAAAACTTTTAAATTGTTCTAAATAACCCCTGCGTCTAGAACCAATCAAAGTGCGGGCAGGGTCGAGTTTTAGGTCGGACCGAGACACTACTTTACGAGAATTTTCTAGGCTCGAGCTCAGTTCGGCCTGTATAGCGGGCCGCACAATAGAAGTCCAAACCCAGCCCAGCACGTATCGTGGACCAAAAAATTGAAGCCCGAGCCCGGCCCTTGTGGGTACCTGCGGGTTTCGTACCGGCCCAGTCCACTCGAAAAGAACTTCTAAATAAATTTTAAAAAATGATTTTTTTAAAAAGTAATGAGTTACTCCCTGCATCCCAATTTAAATTGTATGTTTTGGTTTACGATGTTTCATTAAGATTATTTTCAAATCGTTGTATAAGAAAAATGGTATAAAATCAAAATATAAAAATTACATTTTAAAAACCATATCAAAAGATCTACAAAACTAGTGGTGATATGATTATATTATTTTGTCAAATGACTAACAAAAATAAAGAAAGAAAGTGAATGGAGTAATATATAAGATAATTGATATAATATCTATAATGAGTTAATGAAAGAAAAATTAAGATATAAAATGTATTTTCTTTTATATTGCTACTACGTATGGAGTATAAAGTATTATTTATTATTTATTGGGATACCATAATCAATGTGTGATTCATTGTAAATAGGAGTAATAAAGATGTATTCATTTTATTACATATCCTTATAATTTATTTTTTTCTCCATAAAAGTATGTGTGTTAAGAATAATTTGAAATAGTTTAGTTCTTTTTTACGGAGTATTATTGTTATTCTTAATGTTGTTATTGTTATTTAATTATAATTATACTAATAGTAAATATTTTAATTTATTCAGCCCGACCCGGCCCGTGGTCTTGAGCATAAAACTCGAGCCCAACCCAAAAATGTTTAGGTCGCCATTTATAAGGCCCAAATCGGCCCGTACCCTAAAATGTCAATCTCAAACCCGCTATTTTGTTGGTGGGCTTTTGTGGGTGGGGCGGATACCCCGCGATCGGGTCTACCTGAGTCCCAATAAAATACTATCTAATTGTATTACCCTAATCCGATCAGGTCTGCAGCCCCTTTCGGACTAAAGTATAAACTTGGTATTCGTAAGCAATCAAAGCATTTCAAGCATTTTAAAACGTCATTTCATAATAAATTATTCAGAATAATAACGAAGTAATTTAATGTTGCGAAAAATGAATAAATAACAATTACAAAACATAATAATATTATGTCTTTTTAAACTTTAATTCATTTCACACATCCACATTGACCATCTCGCCCCGTCTGCCACCAGGATTCCATCACATCATTCTTTTTGTTTACCCGCGTGTAGCAAATAAAACATAGTACACGCTCCGCGTTGAAGCTGAATAAGCATATCTAATGCGTCGAACATCCATATAAATTGAATCTCAATTCATAATCAACCATTTGATATCATGTACACAATACGTATTTCAAGCATATGATATTCATAATATTTTATTTCAAATCATTTCATGATATATATAATATACAATATTCAATATTTCAACAGTGATCTTAAATTATTTTTAATCTAGAGCCAAATTATTTTTATATAAGCTCTTAGCTATTCCTAGTCTAAGACAATATTTCTAATAAGGCTCTTAAACTATAATTAGTTTAAGGCAGAACACAAGAATCGATAATCCACCCTATGAATCATGTGGATTACGTACCAACCGAACAGTGAATTGTCGGGCGGGTGATATCCGGTCTGGATCCCGTACGTACATTTTAATCCCATATTTCTGAATTGGTGACATAGGTATATCTTAGAGTTCTTCTAGATATCCTTAATAGTCAACATAAATTTTCCAAATAGGTATATCTTAGAGTTCTTCTAGATACCCTTTAAAATATACATTATTTTCATAATCATCAATATATTTTTTTAAATCAAATATTCATAATTATCATTTTAATCAGACTAGTCATCAAGTTAATCGTTATCATAATCATCAATCAATAATAATTATCATAATGTTCAATAGCAAATAGTGGCCTAGCGTCGAGTGTTAGCACCTTAGCTTATCGTCATAAATCACATAAAATTTTATTTGTCAAAACATCATTTTTATTTTTATTTTTTAGAAATTATTTTTATATTGATCATAATTGATTGGTATCAAAAATAGGATTTTATAGCTTGAAAAATAGCATTTTCGAACTTAAAAATGTTCGTAATGGTCGATTGTTGGGTTCGAACAGTCGTCCGTTCCGTTGGAAAATGCAGGAAAATAGAGTGTTACTCCGTATTATTCATCATCTTCAACCTCCAACCCATTTTTTTCAAATTTCATTTTTGGTCACTAAACTTCAATTAAACTATATAGAAATGTTCTCCAAGGTCCGTATATTATTTTAGAGGCATCAATTCAAAGTTTTAACAACAAATTCAAGCTTTATAAATCTTGGTTCTTCAAATATGTCAAACACAAACTCAACCAAACGACCATTTATGAACATAGAAACGATCTATATGAACATTAGTCACTAGATATATCTACGGGCTTACTTCAAAGTGAAACGAGGATTCCGGTGAAAAAACGGAAAAACTTTTGACGAACACAACATCTTGCTCCGGCGACGGGAAGCTCTCCGGACAGCTCCGAGGAGAGGGAGTTACGTTTTGGAGCTCTGTGATTTCCTACGTTCGTTGATTGCTGGAGGGGCGGCTAGTATTTAATTTATTCCAGTTTAGTTCGATTAAATTACCTCAATCGGGGTACACTTTTTGGTCCAACTTTATCCAAATTGAAATCTGTTTGCACCGTTGCGATCAGACAGTCAAACTCTATTCAATTATATAATTTTTATATTTATTTGAAATACATATTCCGACAACATATTTTTGGGTGTTGACTTTGACATAGTCAAAATTGATTTAATTGATACTCCGTATATAATTAAAATTACTCTCATATTCAATCAATATTATTAAATTTAAATACTTATTTCAATAAATCATTTTACAAAAGTTCACATCTCTGACCACTTCTCATATATATATATATATATATATATATATATATATATATATATATATATATATATATATATATATATATATATATACACCCAAAATAAGGTAATGTATAGGAATGACCGTAGTCGATATGTAGTGTTATAAGTTTTTGAAACACTTCTTTATAAACTACATTCGTAGTTTGGTTCGTTGACGGAAGATTTTTATTGCAAATTAAGATCTTTAACCCTTCACTACTTGTAACACGTGAAATTGCAACATATAGTTGACCATGACGGAATACTGGTTTTTTGAGTAGCAATCCGACATGAGACAAAGATTGACCTTGACTTTTGTTAATTGTCATAGCATATGAAGTTATGATTGATAATTGTTTCCTTTGAAATCTAAAAGGAATTCTTGCATCTAACGGTGTTAACGACAACCGTGGATTAACAACTTTTTGGCCGACATTTTTACCTGTCATCATCGTTTAGATTGTCAGCGTGTATGTCGTGTCATTATTGGTGGTGTTAGTCTCACACAATCATTACAAACAAAAAACAATCCCTATCTAACGTCCCCAATTTGTAAGCACGATAAATGTCTACGTACGGTAAAGCATTTCTAACAATCTTCCATAAATTCAGAGTCTCGTTTACTCTTGCACTTGTAACATGGACTCAACCAACATCCATTTGCTGCTTAAATTGTGAAAAAATTACAGTAACTTAAAATTTATAAAGTTATTCTTTAATATGAATATATACAATAGGATTTTCATAAAATAATTGTTTAAATAAAAATCGGCCATACAATAATAATAATAATAATAATAATAATAATAATAATAATAATAATAATAATAATAATAACCCAGTGCAGAAAATATATTTTTGAAAAGTGAGCAGACCAATTCCGGCAGCCCAATCCATTTTTGAGATATCCTCCGTGGTATTCTCACTTCCACATATTTTCAGCCCTTCTGCCTTATCCCCTCTCTAATCTACCGGTGCTCTATTCCATAGCCGGCGATGGATGCAGAGAGATCGAGCGAGACCGAGAGAGAGTGTGTGTGATTTTCAGGGCATAGGTGAAATAAAAACTTATCCAAATCAAGAGTAGAGATGTAGAGAGACTGGGAGATAAAGAGAGTTGGAGAGATCGAGAGGTGACAGTTAGAGCGATGGAGTATATCTTCCCTGGAACATCATCCGTGAAATCGCTGGTAAATCTTATTTGATTTTTTCATATAGATCTTTTTTTGCTACTTCACACTCCCATCGAATTAAGGTATTGAAGTATTAAAGTTTTTGTAGATCTAAAAATTTCTATAAATTTAATAATTTTGTCAATTTTTTATAAGTTCAAATTAACGAAATAGATTAGATGTAGTCTAAATCAACCATGCATAAGTTGTGTTTAGATCCTTTGATTTCGAAAATGTTTCTAAGTATTTTTAATAATTATTCATAAGTTTTAAAAATTATTTTTGGTATAGTTTATTTTTGGTGATTACTGAACATTTTCACCATTACGTAATTTCATTGAAGTATTGGTTTGAAATTTTGTAAGATCCAATGCTCAATAATATGGTTATTCTTTTAACATTGTTCTAATAATTCAAAATAATGAGATAGATTATAATGGGTTTAAAACAAATATGCATGTTATTAATTATTAAAAATTTATCACTATGTTTTTTAGTTTATAAGAGAATCCGTGTTATATTTTGAATTATATGTTTATCTAAAACTTTGGATAGTTTATATGCATGTTATTAATTACATTGTTTTAAAAATTTGGTTAAATAATGTTCTTGGATTTGTGGGAGAATCTTTTGCATTTAATGCCCATGTACCATAAGATTTTTTCAAATCCAAAGCATTAAATGGCAATAAGGAATTTGGGCTTCTAAAAGGTGCTTTACTGCCGTAATAATACAGTGCTCACACTCCCCAATTTTTTTCATCATGTTGTACGCGGTACAATGCAAATCAGCCGCCCTATATTAAAGCTAGTATGTAAAAACAGCCTGGAGCCATCAATGCAAATCAGTCGCCCTATATTTAAGCTAGCATGCAAGAACAGCCTGGAGCCAACTATTTGCCGTCCAATATCAGAAGATATCAGGCCCATTACATAACCCAGTTCAATTAGCCCATACTCGGCCCAATAATTTTAGGCGGGAACACTGTTCATTTTGGCCTCATACCATTGTATATATGAAGATTCTTCATTATATACAAGGTTCGTTTGGATTTTTGTTTGCAAAATATGAAATTTGGGTTTGCAAAATATTCCTTCCGTCCCGGAGTATTTGTTCACTTTTTATTTTTAGAACTGTTCATCTAAGCACTTTGATTCATCAAATTCTCTCAATGTGTAAGCCTAAATATAATCATGTGTGATCTTGTTTGATTTGTCTTAACATATAGATTATTAATATATAATTTCTATAATTTTTTAATATACAAATTACAAGATAAAATAGATTAAAGAAATGTATTAGATGGTGTGTAAAATGAAAGTGAACAAATATTCTGGGATGGAGGGAGTATTAAATACTCCCTCCGTCCAGAAATTAAACTTCCCATTTGGACTTTTTCCCATTTTTATGAAGTGTTGACTTTAGGATGGAAAAGTCCAAAATACCCTTCCCCCAATTGTCCCCACCCACTACCCCTGCCTTTTGCTCTCACCATTTCTGTCGATACCACTACTACGGCAGATCCAAAACAGCCGTCGACCCCCACAATCGCTACAGCCCCACCACCACTTCAGCCCCTAGATCTTCCCAGACCTTATAGATTTAGAAGACAAACAAATAGGAGAAAAAGGGGAATAAGAAGAGGAAAAAAGAAGATGAATTGATTTAGAGAAAGAAAAGAGGGATGAGAAAGAATTGGGGGGAGAAGAAAAAGAATAAGAAGAAGAAGAAAGAGGAACGGATCTGAACGGAAAAAGGAGGACAAGAAAGAACGGAGGGGAGAAGGAGGAGGAGAAGAAGAAGAAGAAAAAGAAGAAGAAGAAGGAATAGATTTGGAGAAAAAATAGGGTGAGAAAGAACTGGGGAAGAGGAAGAAGAAGAAGAAGAAAGAAGAAGAAGAAGAATGAACGGATCTGCAGGAGGAACAATTGTGGAGACAAGAAAAAGAAGAAGAAGAAGAAAAAGAGAAGAGAAAGGAAAGAGAGGAGAGAGGCGAGGAAGGGAGGGGAGAGAAAGGGGGAGGGGAGAGATAGGGTGAGTATTTGTAAGTGTGGGTATTTTGGGTAGTTAGTGTATAAAAAATTGAAATGGGAAGATTATTTCCGGACGGAGAAAAAGGAGAAATGGGAAGATTATTTCCAGACGGAGGGAGTAACTAACAAAAATAAAGAAAGCAAATCACTAAACTTTAACCATGTGAATAAAAAATAGACAATTTTATTTTGAATGAACGAAGTATAATTTTACATAAAAAAGAACTCATTGTTGTTTGTGCTTCAAGTAGTAGGTTATAAATTTGATATACTCCGTATAATATTACTGTATATTCAGCATACTCCCTCCCTCTCCATTTTTATTACAATTTTATTTTTTCACTTCTCTCGATAACTTGTTTATTTGTGTTTTTATTGATTATTTGAAAAATTAAAATATTCTAGTCACCTTTTTTGTAGAACTTTGGGCATAATTTTTAAATCTAATTAATATACCAATTTATAAATAAAATGATTTAAAAAATAATTGGAGTTTTCATCGTAATCTCCATTCTGTAATCAAAATAGGAACGGAGAGAGTATACAAATACTACCTCCGTCCCGCTATATTCGTCCACTTTTGACTTTTGGAAGTGTTTATCTAAGCACTTTGAATCATCAAATTCTCTCAATGTGTAAGCCTAAATATAGTTAATGTGATCTTGTTTGATTTGTCTTAACATATAGATTAGTATTATATAATTTTTATAATTTTTTAATACACAAATTGCAAGATAAAATGGATTAAAGAAGTGTATTGGATGGTGTGCGAAAATAAAAATGAACAAATACTCTGGGACGAAGGGAGTATGTTTTTTAAATCGTTGGTGGAAACTAGACAAAGTTGAAAAGTTGAAAATTAATTTTTCCAATCTAAAAGAACTAAACCAAAGTGGTGTATAATCAATCATCTCTTCTACATCTTTCTTATCTAGTTGGGGAATCACAACAGAAACAGAAAGGAGAAAAGAGAAGAGATGATCAGGCAACTTAAATTCCAAAATGAAGCTACTTGGTGATTGTCATAGATCCGAAAGACATACAAACAAGCCAGTGTTATGAACAAAAGCAACGAGAAATTAGTCCTTTTCAGGTGCAACTAAGATTGGCTAGGTAACTTAAAGATTATTATTACGAAAGGATACAAAATTCACCATGTCTTCCAAGTGGTCCCTATTTGAGGCCTTAAAAGGGGATACTAGCCACTGCACCATAAACTTCTCCATGGTTCAAACAGGTCTTAAGTTATGCTTGTTGGCCAATAGAAAGCTATCATAAACACTTGTCTCGTAGCTTGTTCATTTTAATTAAAAAAAAATACATTCTCATCTATTTGAGTAGCTTCCTGGAGGATTGTATCACAAGAATGCAAAGACTTCATATAACGGTCTAGGGCTGCATCTAACCACATTTTCAGAAATTATTTCAGAGATTTAAATTGCACAAGATACAACCGAGTGCATTGAGTAACGAAGAGAGTTAGTATACACAGCTGCCAATGACTTCAAGTAATGGGGCGTTGTTCTAAAATGAGTTCCAAATCAAAATTGTAGATAACTACACAACATTATGCTGCCTAAAAAGCAGTGTTTGGTTGTAACTTGTAGCACTATGTTTGGTTCAAAAAAATTGAAGGGGAAAAGAAAAGAAAAATGAGATAGGAAAACATTTTCTCTTGTTTATAGGTTAGAGAGGAAAAAAGAAATGAAAAGAAAAGAAAAAGTGAACAAAAAGAAAACGTGAAGACAAATAAGAGGAAGGGAAACAAGAGTAAGGAAAATGAGAAAATTATTATTTTTTCTTTTCTCCTTCAAAATTCCTTGAACCAACCATAGTGTAAGAGATAACTAAGGCAATCAAAATATGTGATGTGCAAGAATAATAAGTATCAAGTTGGCAGGACCAACACATTGATGAAGCTCACTGCAAGTTAATGAATCATCGGCAGTCACTAAGACCCCGTTTGGTACATGAAATTCAAACCATGGAATTGGAATTGAGGGCTTCAATTCCAATTCTGGTGTTTGGTAGCACAAAAATTATGTGGATTTGGAATTGATAATGTAAAAAATGATTTGGAATTGGCATAATTCAATTCTGTGGAATTGAATCCCATGGAATTTTAATTCCAATTCAATTCCAATTCCGTCAATTCCATATATCAAACGGACCCTAAGAGACTCAATTTGGAATATTACGATGCCCATCAGCAAATTCTCGAATAAGGCCTTTCAGCATTCTTCCTCCTTTCCCTTGCATATGAGAACTATCATTCGCTATTCCAATACTTTGCCTGCATTGAATATAATCTGAAGCTGCATCTGTAAGAGCTTTGAGCCATACTGGGACCAGGGATTCAGCTTCTCCTTGTTTTAGATATTCAGAAGGTAGAGTCTGCACCTGCAAAAACAAAACAAAAAAAATTAAAACTCATACATTGGGGTGATTGCCCTTTTTCATTTATGATATGAAAAAACAAACACAACCCGCATCCCCTATATAACCTTCCCTAATAAAGACTCACCGCAATGCGTTTTTAATATTTAAGCTCTAAAACAACACAGGTCCGATTATTAGGGAATCGGACTTTAGAGCTCACATTGGGAATGTAGATGCCTGAAGTGGAAAGGCATGGAAATAAAATGTACTAAGCAATGCTAATACTGTTGTGCACATGCTCTGATGCACCCACATACTTACCGCTGCCTTTAGCCATCCACGCAGAGACTCCAAACAAAGTATAGACCTCCATGTTGTTCTTTCATTTAAACTGCATACGGCAGCCAATTGTTGCAAGAGCATAGCAGATTTGTGAACCTGTAATCAATAGCTAGTGTTAATCCCCTAATTTCATAGCAAAATGTTAAAACAATGAAAACAAGAAGATTTTTGGCAAAAATTGAGTAACAAGAGACGTTTATGTTTTGTTTAAATCCCAAATAGTTAGTGGCGCTAGGTAGCAGTGACTTGTATCATGTGGAAAGTTCCCGAGTCCTCATTTTCTTTTTTCCAACGTATACAAGAAAACAGGGTCCAATAAAAACTGGAACCGAGTGAACAGCATTTCAGATGCCCAAAATGAGATGATAGCAGATGTGGATGAGCTACTTGCAGATTAGATCTGTTTGGTATGTTTAATTCAGTAATACGAAGTACATTCCACTGTTTTTATACAAAGAGATTTCAGGATCTAGAACCTCACCCTTGACATTGCAGATACACCAAGCAATGCATACATCAGATTCGAAATGAGTCCTTCCCCACTATGGGATATGACTTGTATCGACATTGCTTCAACTGACACTTCACAAATGCATGCTATAGGTTGCAAATCAGAAACCGAAGCTATAGATTCCATTAATGTATTGAGGCTGAGATCCAAAAACACTGGGAAAAACAAATGAGCAGGTTCACATATCAGATACAACCCAGCATATTATAATCATGGACAATTTGATGAACACGCAACGAAAAAAGAGTGTAGAGGTAAGTGAATTGGTTAACAAGTATTCTTTAGAACCCCAGAGGTTTACCCTCAAAATCTAGGAAAAATCTACAGATCTTACTCAAGCTCTCCGAAGCCTGCAAAACGAATGATGTTAAGTCATCCTTCCTAAATCCTAACGCATTCTGGCAAAGCTACAAGTGGTGCACAATCCATGTACCATGATCACCCGAGGTATAGATATTTAAATTTGGATGATAGCGAATCACATAATTTATTCCTTTTCTTGTTGACTGTTGAGTAGTTCGAAACTTGGAGCTTCGTTCAAAACAAAAAAGTTTTTTTCGGTAAAAGAAAACAAAAAGGACTTCTTATTTTATGAAAACTAGAAATAATGAAAGTTAAATAAAGATGAGCGAGAACTGTAGAACATTTCTTTCATTTCCCTTCTCTGTTTCACTACAATATTGAATATTCTATCCAGTTCAAGGGCTTTTGTCCACAAGGATGGTAGCCATGCTCAGTGGCAGTCAGTGCTCACCATCCATTCGAAAACAAATAGGATTTCTTATTTTAAGAAAATTAGAAAGAACGAATATTAAACAAAGATGAACAAGAACTGTAGAACATTTCCTTCGTTTCCCTTCTATGTTTCACTACAATATTGAATATTCTATCCAGTTCAGGGCCTTCTGTCCACAAGGATGGTAGCCATGCTCAGTGGTAGTCAGTGCTAACCATCCATCACATCACCCAAACATATGTAACGTAATACTTTGGTTCCTTAGCTAAGTGTCCGCATGTTATGTTAAAGGAAATCCAAGATAAGAACATTCTCCACTTCTTTGTGCATTAAATCCAAACTCAACCAAAGTAACTAAACTTGCAATTCCTAACCACCACCAAATATTACTTATATACTACTCATTTATTGGCCCGCTCCAGTAGAAGTTCTAAGAGAGTGATATGCATAGAGTTCTTCAAATATTTCCGAGCTTTTGGTAAAACAAGGTGTACCTCCCTTGTGAAAGTGTTCATGTTTAAACTAAGAAACCAAGGAACATGTACAAAAACAGCCCCAATTAAATCCCACGAGTAGGATATAGGGAGGGTGTGTGTGCACAAACCTTACCCCTAGCCAAATGTAGAGAAGTTTCCAAGACACCCCATCTCAAGCACAACAAAGTAAACCAATTGAGTAGACACAAAAGCAGGACAAAGTAAGAAAACAGGAGCAAAGAGCAAACTAAGGGCAAGGAAAGCAAAAATTGCTGCTAGCCATACAAAGTACTGAGCAACAAGACCCCAAACACAAAAAACACACAACGACAAGAGCAAGAACGCACCGGCAAAGAAAAATACCATTAAAGCCTAGAAGTGCGCCCAACTACTCTAGTCTTAGATCTCCAGATGTTCCTATCTAAGGTCGTATACATGGTAAGGCCTAAAAGTCTTCAGCATTGTCTAGTCACCTTTTTCCTAAGTCTACCCCTACCCGTTCTCCCGCCCACCACGGTAATCCTCTCGTATCTTTGCATTGGGGCCTATGTACTTCTCTTCTTTACGTTCATAAATCATCTCACTCAACCTAGCTTCTCGCAACTTATCCTTCACATGTGCCACTGCCACTCGTCCCAAATACTTTTGTTCTGGGTCTCACCTCTGCCACATGAAGTTGACAAACATGAGTCTTCTTCACGGCCCCACACTCTACCGCATAAAGCATAGCCAATCTGTTGGATAAAACTTTTCTTTAATGTTAGTCCAAATCTTCATGTCACAAAAGACACGTGAAGCAAGCTTCCACTTTGCCCACACAGCTCTGATACGATAAACAAAGTACCCATCTATCTCCTCAAGTGTTTGCATGACCAAACCCCGATACGAAAACTTGTCTCTCTTAGGCCCAGAAGCAACATTCCATGTAGTTAGTCTTAGTCTGGCTTAATTTGCAACCTGTGGATTCAAGTGAATGATGAGCTTGCCATTGAGCCCTTCACGCATCAAGGACTAAGTATAATATTGTTAACATGCAAGCGGACAAGGACTAAAGACTAACCCCATACTCAAAATTAAAACCTATTCCAATCAGATAAAAATCATTCTAATCAGGTTAAGAGAAGAAGCCCTTAGTTGACTTTAAATTAATATTAAAGAGCTTGGTAACCCAAACCAACTACCTATTACCCACTATCCTCCAAAACTCTATTGGAAACTCACTGGACCCCAGGGCTCTCCCCCCTCATCCCGCGGATTGCCCTCACCATATCCTCTTGACTAATGCGCCAATACTAACAGATACCTCACCTAATGCCAACCTCTCATCCCCTTTGGAATACAATAGGCCATGGAAGAAGGCCTCCCACCGATTGACACCTCTACCACACAAAACAAAACCCTACCATCACCACCTCGAGTCTTCCCCTCTCGCGCCTTAGCAACTCAAAACACTCTGTTCTTGCCGCCCCTCTGCTCAAAATCCTCATAAAGACATTAAAAAGCTTCAATTTTAACCCTCGAAAAGCTTAGCTTCTTTACAAGCAATCTTATACTCAACTCTTAAGGATATTATAACCTCATCATCACTACAATCCATGAACCTCTTCTACCCCGCTTTCTGAGCTCCCACTTTACGTTGAACCACATAACTCCACAACTACCCTTTGTGACCACACACAGTACCACAACATACACCTAGCACCTCCGAGCCGCTTCCCATGCAGTTTTAGTCCACATGTCATTTGCCTCCATGGTGGTCTCCCACAACAAGGTACATGTCATAAAACAATATCTAAGTTTTGCCATGAAAGATGTGTCTCGTCATATAATGATAATGTTCATAAAGTTTATGTTTAAATTGTACGAAGTATATGCCAAGACATCGAACCACAAAAAACTAAATTGTGTATGAAGTCATCTTGTTTATATAAAAAGACTACAAATTTTTTAGTATGATCTTTTAAATTTACATGTGTTAATGTGCCATACAATCAAGTCCACATTTGCCCATGATCAATAAATCTCTTAGTGACAAACTTGAGAAACCAAGTGACCATCATCAAGAGTGAGAATTAGAAGCAAATTATAATATGATAAGCACAACAAAAAAATAGTATCACCTTAGGTAGTCATGAGCTACTATGCAAGATTGTTAAAATCACGATCAGAAACATAAAATCTTAAAATTGTACAAATTGGGTTCACATTTTCGATCCAGATCACTGCTAACACCGGAAAATCCTAGGATCGTTTAGATCAGGGAGGTGGGTCGTAGAATTGCCAGATCGTGATTGCGATACAGTCCGGGAAGTTTGGTTGTAAAAAAACTCTAACCTGAATCATTATAAACCCGTCTATTGTGCTTTTCAATTTCTTTGCTCCGTTCAACATCTACACTTCTCCCTCTTCCGGTTTGAATCTCAATCGCAAGCATCTCAGTCGCGACTCGAGGCCCGGCTCTATGGTAACCATTTTTGGAAAGTATAATAATTTGTATAAGCCCATAAAACGCTACAGAGTATGCAAGTGAGCAGGAAGCACGGTTTTTCTTTGGTCTTTGCATTGAGTTAGTGAAATAGGCTAAAGCCACTCAAAAGGTTAACTTTTTCTTTAAGTAAACTCCGTACTTTATTTTTCTAACAATATACTTTGGAGGAAATGACTTGATGAACTGATTGCTATTTCTATTTATTTGGATACTGCGAATATGATTTATCACATCTTTTATACTCCATCCGCCCCAAAATAAGGCTTATGTTCAGCTTACAATGTTTGAAGTTATTTTCAAATCAATATAAAGAAAAAATGGTGTAGAATAAAAAAATAAAAATTATACGGAGTATATTCAAAAACAACATCAAAAGTTCTACAAAACAAGTGACGACAAGGTTATTTTATTTTATCAAATGATCAATGAAAATGTATAAAGAAAGTAGAGTTACTTTGACATGTGAATAGATACTAGGAATCTTTTTTGGGATGGACGGAATGTTTTTTAATTATGTACATGTCATAAATATTACAACTTCTCTAGAATCTTATTATTTGAGTTGTGATTCACGATTCACGATCCACCGACACCCCCCCCCCCAACAATCCTGGCTAGGATCTTGAGTTTAACAACGTTGCTACTATGCATAAATGACATAAATGGAAAGGTAATATCAACGAAACTAAATCAAATCAGCATTACTAAGGATGGCTTACTGGACATAAATGACATTGAAGCAAGTGCTGCACCACGATGCATAGCTGTGCAACAAATAGCTGCTTTTTGAAAGGATAACTCAATAAAAGAACCTGAGATAGCTAAGACTTCCTGAATTAGAGAAAGACTGTCAAAAGTTTGTGCAATATATAAAGGCATATGCATAATGTCCACGCCAGATTAAAGAAAATCTAATTTACATACGTAGACAATTAAGAAGCACCTTAGGACAGCATTGGATGAAGGTAGAGGAAAAATTTGTGAAGGCCTCCACTAGATCAGGTTCTTCGTCACATATATAAGAGGAACTCAGTGACAATACAGATGTAGCACGGATAAATCGATCAAATGTGCTGATGAATAGAGGTCCATACTCTTCTCTGCTTCCAAATTCTTGAATGATGATGGAAGCTTCAAATTGTTGCAGATAAGAAAATGTTACCAAAACTTGTAAAATTAGGGCATCTCCTTGCACACCAACCCCGCCAAAAAACACAAAACATGGAAATGAAGCAAATATAAAACATTAACACCATTCTTGCTTTCGTTGTCATGCTATTAACATTATTAACTTAACTCTGTAGTACTTGGTAACGTAAAATATAGAATACTCAAGTATGAAACAAATTTGTTGAAATGATGCAGAAGATAAAATGCAGAAGAATACTCAAATGAGTAAGGAAAATGATGCAGAGATAAAAAACATGGCAAAAGACATGATAGGCCATCCCAAAGTAAGATATTAAAGAAAAAATGGGCCTAGAATTGAAGAAACATGCTTATTTTTTTGTTGTATCTTATAGAGAATATGGGTGTTGAGTTTCATATCTAATCGTTTTGTTTCTTCTGGATAGGAGATTGAACTTGTGATCGCATCAATGCTTCAGTTTCTGAAGATTTGGAAAATGATATCGGAAATACCATTGAATAGATTTTAACTGTATATAATAGTAATACTAATGTCCCAGCTTCTGATAATACCTAAAATTAATACTAATGCTAATGTCCCAGCTTCTGATAATACCTAAAATCACATAAAAAGGGCAAACCTAGCCTTGTCATGCAGTAATTAAGAAATGTAACTTAGGCAAGAATGAAGACGACACTAAAAATTCTATTTCACCCTCATTGGTATGAAATAAGCTTTATGCATTTATACCTGCTCTAATGTAGCAATCGTGGGTTTGGAAGGTCTGAAATTTAGAAGAAAGACAATCTAACACTTTAGGCAACAATGGCAAAAATGGCTGCCCTGCAAAATGAATCAAACTTTTGACATACAACTGATACAAGATAGAAAACATTCTTTTTCCAAAAATGAGAAAACGCATCATAAAGTTTTAGCAAGATACATACTGATAACAGGAGAAACGATTTTGCTTGAGAAATCTTGTCTTGAACTACTATTCATTTGAACAAAAGGTTCGGGATTTCCTATTTTTCATTTGTCCCAAAATAATGTTTCACTTTCCTTTTGAAAAGTGATTATATGATTTATATCATCTCTATCTCTTGTGTGTAACCATCAACCACTCAATTTTACCTTTCTTGACAACCATGTCTAGTGAAATGTGGAACCTTCGTTAGGGACGAATAGAGTATACTGACTTGTCTCGACAAAAAAAATCAAAATCACAATTGCCATCCAAGAATACTCAAACAAAACTCCCATAGACCAAACTCACAATTGATGAGCTTTATATTTATGAATTACAATTATACTTATGTCTACAATTTATTCTCGCCTTCACAATCATCCAACAACTCTACTTTGGTCTACCTCTACCCTCCTTGCATCAAATGCCTTACATCCAGCGTCTTGCACCATCACACCGAAGCATCAACATTCTTTGTCAACATGTGTCCAAACCGCCTAATCAAGTTTTGGGCATCTTATCCACGAAGAAGCCACTTAGTTTGTCTTGAATATTCTCATTTTGTGCATTTTACTTATTTCCACTTGGGACGTCTCAAAAAACCCTCATCTTTCCGTATTTGAAAAACATTGAGTGGCTTACGATCTTTCTCCCTCTACATCACTTTCAACCACTCATTTTAACTTTCCTTGAACTTTGTGTCATGTCAAACTGACACAAAGTATAAAACAGTCATGTTATTTTATGTTTCGTAGAACTTTTTATGTAATTGTTTAAAATATAAATTTTAGTTTAGAATTTTATACATACAATCAAATAAATTGAACTGAAAATAAAGTTGGCCAACCCTCGTAATCCACAATTGGGTAATTCAAATCTGGACACAGGGACTATAAGTACATTAATAAGAGAATACAATTACTTGAAAAAAAGTTAAAAGATAAACCTTATCAAATTATTTGTGTACCAATATCTAATATAAATTTTATTTAACTAATAATAAAAGTTTCTCAAATTTGACTTCAAAAATACAAAACTAGAAAAATACATTAAGATAAAGGGAGGTAGTGAGTTCTGTCCTAAAAAAAGAGTTGGTATTGTTATGTTTTTCTATTTTTATTTTGTTGTAGTATTTCAAAATTTTTTTACTATTACATGAATTATATTAGGTAGTGTTTGGCAACTAGCATTTCATTTCAATTCATGCATTTTAATTCCAAAATTTGAAATTCTGAATTTCAAATGACAAGTAGGCTTGGTTTTGAATGTAAAGAATTTGATTCAAATCCAAATTCAAAATGCTTAAGTTTCCCAAACATGGAATTTAAGCCAAATCCGGATTTGAAATCCAAATCCATGTTCCCAAACATACCATTATTACATTTTTGTTCACTAAAACTTCATGAAAATTAAGAAGTGTTGTGAAGTTGGCAAAAAATGAAGTGGAAGGTTGAAATTTATTTGAATGAGGGAAATTTTATTATATCCACATATTCGTTTCCAAACAGAGAAAGTGGAGTGTAAAAATGATTTTTAGACATCCAAAATAGGAAAGTGTAAAGTTCAAGGACTATTTTGCTTATGTTTTGCGTTTATTATCGAATAAAACCTGTGTGACTCTATTTAAGAAGTTTTTTATTATACTATGCACTTTTGAATTAGATGACTTTCAAACACATTACCAACAAAAGACATAAAATAGATGTAGAATGACATTGCAAAACATGTATGACAAAGAATTCAACGAAGATATTAGTTATGAAAATGATAAATTTTGTTAGACAGGATCCGATCAAAGCAAAACAGAGTATTTTATTGTTGTGAACTTGCACAAGATTTTTTGTGTTCTTGAATACAAATAAAAAAGAAACTGACACAACTTTTACAAACCAACACACCTATAACACACCTATTATTATAAGAAACTACCCATAACTGCTTTTGGAAACTACCCTACCGTTTTTTTTTCAAATTAATTAAATATGTAAAACACACTAAATGACACCATAATAAATGATCCAAACATTGACTCATTACCCATCTGGTTATATGTAAACAAACTCGATTAATTCTAACAATCACGACCCTAATCGTTGTTTGTTCACACCAATCTTCACAGCAATGTTGTTCATCATCATCTAGAATTAAATTTGCAATGTCTTCCTTATGCTGCCATTTTGGACATTTGTGTTGGACATGAGTTCAAACCACTTTAGATTTAGATTTTTTTGTTAATATTTTCAAGTTTTAATAAATGAAAAACACACAGACAACAATTTTTTTCATATATATCGAAAAAGCAAAGAAACATATCAAGAAAAACAAGTTGGTTGATCAACGTTCAATCCCTATGCATTTGTAAAAGTGAAGTGAAGATTTCCAAAGACTTTTTAATTATTTGAGTCGTAGGAAATTTTGTAAGGATGTTAAAATATTTTTTTTACTAAAACAAACTCTTTTCTAAGGGTAGAAAATAAAATATTTTTATTGAGTCAGTTCAAAAATAAAATTTTCTCCGTCCAAAAATATCTCTTTTGAATCAGTTACAAAATGTGTGTAAAAATTTCCTAAAACATTTTAATATATAATTTTTTTTGCTAAGAAAAATATCTTTTAAAAAATTTTCTTGTACACAGTTTGACGCAATATTTTTGGGACTCATTTCTGCACCCAAATATCATTTAATCATTCAAATTCATTTGAATGAATTCGATAACAATGGGAGCCTATTATACATGTCTTCTTGTTGGGAACAATGAGAAATTGACAAATGTACTTCATCATCTCGAACTTGCTTGTGTTCTTGTTATCTTTGCACTATTCGCGACAAAAATCAATTTTTTATCACTTGCGCAGCAGGGTTTTGTCCCGGCATTAAAAATTGATTTTTAACTTTTTGGAAAAATTGGTTATCATTTTTCGCCTAGAATTATTCTGCAAAGAGCCTCCTAATCAATTTTCTCTCCTATGCAAAAATTGATTTTTTCTCTTTTGCACCTCTTCATAGTCTTATCTTTTGCCCCAACACACATATCATTTCTACATATATATATATAAACCCTCGTTTACCTTCATTATACGCACCAAATGAGGCACTCTAAACACTCTTTTGATTACATACTAAATCTTCTTCCTCCAAAAGATTATTAGTTTTGAGAGTATAGAAATATTTTCTTGAGTGCAAATACTTTGTTATCCATTAGAGCTTACATCTTTAAACACTACTTGCTCATTGTGTGAGCTTTTCATTATTGTGTTGTTATAAACTCAATATTCCTTTTGAGTTTGAGGCGGCTAAGACTTGTGTGACTAAAGTCTTGTTTTTAAGTGTTGAGGCATGTGGGATTCAAGTTCTCAAGTTGTAAGGTTTTTCAAGCACCCGTTGAAGCTTGAAAATTAGTAAGACCTTTGAGAGAGTCTCTCGGAGGACTGGAGGTGGTGAACCAGTATACATCGCGATGTTCTTCTTCCTCTCTACTCTTTACTTTATTCCTTCAAGTTTTACGCTTTATCTTATTTCTCGTGAAAAATGCTCATTCTAGACCACAACTCTATTCACCCCCCCCCCCCGCTCTAGAGTTGCATCTACTGTCTAACAATTGGTACTGGAGCAGGAAATTCTCCGAATACATTTTTAATTTTTCAGGAATTAAAAGATCAATGGCATCTAGAATGCTCAATGCAAAAGTCAACGAAGGCCAATCCACAAACGACTACAAACTGTGGTTGATTGTGAAGAACAGATGCCGTGTTCCCATGAAGAAGGTGGGAGAAGTCAATGTTCCCAAAACCGAAAAAGAATACACCGACGAAGATAGCAAGAAGATGGAGCTCAACGCCAAAGCAATAAACATGATTTAATGCGGTGTTAATGCGGATGAGTACTGCAACGTTTCACGGTGTGAAACCGCAAAGCAAATGTGGGAAAAGTTAGAATTCACCTACCACCCAAGTGAGAGAGGCAAAGATCAACCAACTCACCCACGAGTACGAGTTACTTTCCATGAAGGAGAACGAGAAGATTGAGGATATGTGTTACATTTCCAAGAGCGTCAACGCAGACTTTCCTTAGTCCACAAAAGGAAAAACGAATCAGGAGAATGTAGCCAAAGTGTGGTGACTTTAATTGTGTTGAATTCATTCCTTTTTCCTATCTTAAAGCCCTAACCAACACCAATGTTGTGCCACATCCCACTTAGGCCGAACCATCTAAACCCCAAACCATCCAAAATTCCTTGTCTTTTATTCCCTTTCATATAAAGTCTTCCTCCACTTATTTTAAGTCCCTTGACCAAAAATAAGAAGACAAACCAAAACCTTTGTTATTCCTTTTTTTAAAGCCTTAAATAATCAAATAACACACTTCCCTTCTTCGTCCTACATAGGGACAAAATTCCAGCCCCATTTGGTTCCTAAAATCCAACCAAAATCACCATTTACCACAAAGGGACAAAATTAGCAAAAGATTCGAAAGTTGAATAGTAAATATTTGTCCTTTTGTTGACTAATTTCACAACCAAACATGTCGTGTTCCTTCCTCACCTTTTCCCCTACAAACGTGTAGTGTTTCGTCCTAACCTTTCAAAGCCACCAAAACATGTCGCACACCATCTAATACATTTCCCATGAAGATCTAGTTGCTAATCAAAAGAAACTAAGAAGGAGCTTGATCTTTTGATGAAGAAGATTGGAGAGTTCACAAATTCAATGTATATCCCCATGTTTGAAGGAAGAAACAATCCGGAGAAGTTCTTATGGTGGTTAAACAAGGTTGAGAATATCATGACATTTAAAGATGTACCTAAAGGTAAGATGGCCAAGCTATTGGCATCTCGGTTCCAAAGACATGCCTCCACTTGGTGGACTAATGTCACCATTAAGAGAAAGCTTGAAGAAAAAGTCAAGGTGCAAACCTGGGAGAAGATGAGAACGCTCTTGATCCAGAGGTTCTTGCCCAGAGATTACCATCAAATGGTACCCAAAAACACCTTCAGGCCCCGTTTGGTACATGGAATTCAAACTATGGAATTGGAATTGAGGACCTCAATTCCAATTCTGGTGTTTGGTAGCACAAAAATTATGTGGATTTGGAATTGATAGTGCAAAAAATGAATTGGAATTGGAAGAATTCAATTCTATGAAATTAAATCCTATGGAATCTCAATTCCAATTCAATTCCAATTCCATCAATTTCATATACCAAACGGACCCTCAAAACATTTTCTACAACCATGCCATTTTCTCCACAAGAGCCACTAAATATAATCCTCCCGAAAACACCAACACCAAATCCCTTACAAGCTGCCACAACCATTTCCATTCCTTCCCCTACACTTACACTTCAAACACCATTAAAAACTACCGCCTTCTCCTCCTTATCTACTGCCCAAACTAATCCTAAAACCCATTCAATACCCCTTCCCCAAAACCCTTCTAAAACCATGTCTTTAACACCAAAACTTACTGCCCAAAACACTCCACAAGCTACCCCCATTCCCACGGCCCAAAACCCACATAAAACCATCACCTTACACCTTCCTAATACTTCCCAAAACACTCAAGTAACTACTGCCTTTTCCACAACCCACACCTCCAAAACCCCCCTTCAACTCATCATCATATTACCCAAGAAACCCTTAAACCAATTCCTACCCAAGTGTCTACCAAAACTGTACCGCCAACTCCACTTCATACTCTCCAAGAGCTGCCTACAATCAAGCTTACAAGCCCTTGTTGTTACCATTGTCAAAAGGTTGGACATTTTGCTATGTGTCCAAATAAGAGAAAAGTGACCTTGATTGAAGATGTTGTGGAATAAGAAGTTTTGAGGCAAAAACAAGTTCAAGAAGATGAGAGACCATTATTCTTGGAACAAGAAAAGCTCATGGTCATTAATAGACCATTGAGAATTGTGGAAGAATGAGAAGAAGAAGAAGAAGAAAAGTTCATGATCGCACCCACGAATGCTTGCCACATTCTTCTAGGAAGACCATGATTGTTTGATCAGAGAATGCTATATGATGGCTTCAGTAACACCTCATTCTTGGTGGGTAGAGTGAGAATCATTCTTATCTTTCAAATTCCATCAAATCCTCATATCCATGAACAAGCCCCTGCCCTACTCTCCATTGTTATCAAACATGAACCATCAATGCCTCAAAAGGCCAAGGAAATGATCCTCATTCGGTCCAAAGATTCACAGCCACTCTCCCATCCCTTGGTTCAACCAAACTTAACCCTATGTCTTCTTGAGAATGGTCCAACCAACCATTAACTAAAAAACAAGCCCCAGCTTTTCCGTCTTCCAAGCCGCTAAACGAAAGTTACACTGCTGATTCATTTTTCCCGTGCCTTTGGTTGGAATACTTCTACCCAAGAAAGAAACTAGCCACTTGTTCTTATTCTAGGGGAGAAAGAATTCTGGTTGTAAAGGAAGTTGAAATGCTTTGGCCGATCCCATCTTCTGTGGATCACACAACCCTTAATCGCAATTAGGACCGCTCTGATACCAAATTGTTAGACACGAACGGATCAAAGCAAAACAGAGTATTTAATTGTCGTAAACTTCTACAGAAATCTGTGTTCTTGAATATAAATAGAGAACAAACCGACACAACTTTTACAAACCAACACACCTATTACACACCAACACACCTATTATTATTAGAAACTACCCATAACTACTTTTAGAAACTATCCAACTATTTTTTAATTAATTAAATATGTAAAACACTAAACAACACCATGTTAACTGACCCAAACATTAACTTATTACCCATTCGGTTATATGTGAACAAATCCGACTAAATCAAACAAGTTTTATAATTGAATATGGTTTTGTATAAATCAACATAAGTCATTTTCACAAAGGTCAATAACTTTAAAGAAATGAATACAAGTCCATAAATTTTTTTATCAACTATGGACTTTTAAAAAGTCTATTATTTATATATAGCATAAATCTGCAAATATTCATATACAATACAACCCTCTAAGACAATAATAAGAAAATAATAAAGAATTATGAGGGATAGAATTATTCAAAAAAACCTAACACAACATATTAAAAATAAAAAGAACTAACATCAAACTATAAAATATAATATAAATAATGGATTGAACAAAAAAGTGAACTAACATATAATTACAACATTAAGAATGCATTGACTAGGACTGGATTTCAATATCATTGAGTTCAATACTATTTAGTTCAATTTAGTACCATTTAGTTTAGTTCAGTACCATTCAATTCAGTACTGTTCAAAATTACACTCTGTTTAATTGAATACTGCATAGTTCAAAATTAGATGACAGTCAACTAAGTTTGTTTCAATATCATTCAACTCAACTGAGTATCTTTCAATTCAACTTCATTTAGCTCTGTTGAAGAGGCTCGAAATACAAAATTAAAAAACAATATATTATCATGAATATGAGACTTCTTTTCAACTAATTACTCAACTATAGCAATGTCTTATATATAGTAGAAAATGGAATTGAGGTATGGAAATTATAAATTTCAAAAATTATTACTAGTAATTGAAAACAATTCAGTTCCAAAGTTGCAGCAAGCCGAGGCAACACCTTATCAACTGCCATGCCGCATAAGATTAAATGAGACAAGGTGTTCCCTATGGCGCACGCGGTGGAGCACCATACTGCCTAATCAACATTTAGGAAACACTATACTAGACTGTTGCTCTAGATGTGAGTGCACTAATCATTTTATCCAAGAGTAGGGTGCAACTCTTCTTTTTAAATTGTACCTTGTTCTCAATGGAGAAGAGCGACAAGGTATTCAATGTATAGTGTGTGCATATGCATTCCATGAATCCTAATCAAACTTGTGATCTCACCTGTATAATCGTATGAGTCACATATGCCTTGGGCATTCAAGAATGAAGATCAAGTGCAAATTCTCTAGTTGTGTAGGATTGGTTGGTGTGTTAAGCCAACCAACTTGCAGAAACCTAGAAATTTAGAGTGCTTTGAGCTTCAACTTATCTCCTCAGCGCGCGGAATTGATATTTGATGGACTCCAACATCTAGATTGCAAAACATTGCAATTGACGTCCAAACAAAAATCTTTTGAAAAGGCCTTTGCTTTGATGCTTTGTTCTACTACAATTCACTTGATCCTTTAGTTTTCAATTTCAACTGTATCAACTAGAGTGTGATACACTTCTTTTTCTTCCATTCCCTCACTAGTGTTAGAGGTGCTTAAACTTCAAGTGGAAAAAGAAGTAAGAAATGTATTTGTGTTCCATACAAAAGAGTACAATACATGAACATGTCACTTAGCCTACTCAAACTAGCTATGTGTGTAATTTTTGTGTAGATACGCTTAGACCTAAGGCTTATAGATTTGTGTATTATGGCAAGTATAAAAATAATAATGAAGTGGAACTAGAGGTACCTGAAGATTGGATAGCATGTGAAAGAGCTTTACAGGCAGCCGTTGATAAGTTAGCATTTTCAATATGATCAGACTTGAAAAGTTTCTCAAGCATTTGCCAAAACATTCCCAATGTACCAGTTAAAGGATTATAATAACTTGGATCAATTGATGGCTGTGTTGTGTATTGGCTGAATACAGTTCCCACTCTATAATCAAAATTTCACGAGTCATTCATTTGAAAACAGCCATATCAAGTAAAAGGTTTGTGTTTAAGGTAATAATAACATTCAATGTTCATGGACTTGGAAATAGTGAAGCTTTACTCAATGCCAAAAAAGATTTTAATGGTACTAATGACAAGAATGCATGGAGGGAGGTGATTAACTTTTACACTCAAATAGTATATCTCTAGGAGGGGAAAACCAAATAAAAATAAGCAAGGGCCAATAAACTACAGGAACATAGACATTTAAAATTGAAATATGAAAGACAATTAAGATGATCGACACATTACTCTGGAGGCAATTTGTTTAAATTGAGAAATATACTAATATTTTAGGGAGCACGCACAGACAAAAAAAATAACATGCCTATGAAGTCCTCTTCTAGCGGACTCAACAAGTTGAGTATAAGTAGCTGGTTCTTTTCTTAAAGGATAATCACAATTTTCATCAATCTGAAACAAAGAAAAGAACTAGGCATTGTTAAGAACAAATATTATTAGATCCAAAAACAGTTGTTGGACTCTTCGCCAATTGTTTAAAGTAAGAAACATGCTAGAAAAGATTCTGTAGTTTCTAAAATTGACGAAATATCATTTGTTCAAAAGAAATGGATGACTATAGTTTCTAAAACAGACTAATTATCATTTACATCCAAGGCAAAGACATAAAATTCATAGTAAAAAAGTAAGACAAAAAGTCCTCATGAGCAACGAAGTAAAAGAAAAAGCTCAAAACCACAAAAAATGGAAAGCGTTCTAATCTCAAACTAATCTTAGATTTAGAGAATTAGAGAATATCACTGTGTTATCCTTGCACTAATAATTAAAAACATATCTGAATCACATAGGTCCTATCAATGAATTGTTATTTTGTGCTTGAAATATCACAATGTATCAAGGGTTGAAATTCTTCTTTCACTGCAAATGAGAGTTGTTTAGTGTTTACACATCAGGACAAGAAGCTAAGCTTATGATCACGTGTTCCTTGTTACTGTAGGCATCATTTAAGATCATGAGATGAAAATGAGATATATCACTCACAAGTTTTCCAACAGCTTCGTAGCTAGGAGAGAGTAATCTAGCAAACAAATTATTCTTAAACTCCTCATTAGGAAGGGACCCTGCAATCAGTGAGATTGCAGCAACCACTTCCTCCTCATCCTCTAAAGGTAAAAACCATTCTTCCAAACCCTAGGAATCAGATGGGACAATAGACACATTAGTTAAGATGAAATGCAATGTAGTTCTTATTAACTAAAAACTAATGTTTTAATTGTATTTAAATAAATTCTTTAACTTTTAGATACAATGAATAAACCAATCCTTCATGGAAAGAAATGACCTGTTTGAACATGATATTAGAGGAGAATTGTGGACAAACCTCCCCAATCCAAATTAAGATTTCCAAACACGAAGGCTCAAAGATTAGTGTGCTCGCATCTTCACATAACTTGCGCAATGCACAGGCACATCCAGATGAACAAAACGATTGTGCAATGCCTTTTGCTAGAAATGATCTGGAAACAGATCAGGCAATCATGCATACACCAATGAAAACTCCATTAGCTAGAAGGAAGTCCTATAGATTAAAGAATAATTTGAAACGTATCTAGATTCTTATTTACAGGTGGACCAACTATCAAAGATTGAGAAGCTGATCAAAGTTATGAGTTCAATAGTAGTGCTAATAGTTTCAATATTCAAATGTGAAACTCATGAAAGCTTGCATATGTGTGTGTCTGTGAGTGAGTGTGTGTGGCTCCTTGTATTAACTTAGAAGGCAGCGCTTACAGTATTTGTCTGGCATCAGATAGAGAAACAGATATTAACTTGGAATAAGAACCAATAATATCAGCAAGTGACTTGTATACCTGCAAGCACGAACGAATATGTTAAAAATAGGCATGTCAAAGACTTCATACCTGGACAACAGGACACAGTTAAACCTTGGTTACAAGATGCAGTATGGTAAGCTTAAAGCATGTAAAAATACATCTGTGAGGCATAAAGGCATGAAGGCTACACTCATAAGGACCAGATCAGATCAGATCCAATCAGATCAGATCAGAACAGATCCAATCAGATCAGATCAGACCAGATCAGATCAGAACTTATTAGAATCAGATCAGATCAGAAAAAATAAGTTGAACGGAACGGAGCCTTAGTCGACTTAAGTGAAGCTTGGGTCTTGCAGTTACCCTTGTTAATGCTTCAGCTTGAAATTAATAGGGGATAGTCTAGAGTCTTGCCCTCTTTAAAGTCGGTAACTTGCAAATACATGTTGAGCTAATTTTTAAAGCTATTAGACCTCAGTCCTGGACTCTCCCTTTTCCTTTTTTAGACACAAATAACAACCCTAACAGCCGGTTTACTGAAATCCCACGAATGGGGTCAAAGAGGGGTAGGTGTAAGCAGGAACTTACCCCTAAGTCACTTCTATACACAATCTTGAGAGTCTGCTTCTCCATTTAACCATCTTATCCAACAAAGGCCATCAGTTTAATCTCCCATTTATAGCTTTGTGTGTAAATCCTTTCTCTTTCTGTTTTTTTCTCTCTTCACTGCTTCTTACCCATTCTACTACTACCTCTATCTCTCTCACTCATTAATCTCATCTTCACTGATTCTATTTAAATTCTTTTCCCTTTCTCTGTACCTTAATAAATGGCAAAGATGAAGATACATGGCTCGTGATTTAGGAGATGAAAATGAAGATGAAGCTACAAAGTTAGATAGCAAAGCAATGGTTGACACTACATTTAAAGTTAATATTCAAACAAATAGGATCTCAAGTATAAATCATATTGTATGCGACTATATTTTAGCCTTTCAAGTGTGATTGATGTACTTGTATTTAGAAAAATACTGTGTTATTCTTTCAACATATCAGGTACTTTTGTCATTGAACTGTCCCTATAATTTTTACCTATTTCACCCTTTTTAACTATTGTTGTTCTTATTTTATAACTCAAGGCTTACGCCTCAAGACAAACAAGCCTACTGCCTTGAGGCACAATTTTTTCTTGCAAACCTTCACATGAAGTATGGGAGAGATAGACTCTCGGGCTAAAGAACTAAACAACTTCATAATACCTATGTCCTGGTGTAGTAATTCAATTTGACTTTTTTATTCAAATTGGACAAACTTGAACCGTAATTAATACAAAAATGACTTCATTAGATTAATCAAATAATCATGAAAAAAACTTTCAAGAAGTTACTTTATTCTATTAATATGTAATGCAATTTTTATTTCATTGATGATCAAAATTCAAATAGGGACGAATATACAAATATACCAAAACAAAGGAATTACAATTTTGTACACAACAAATAGTACCCTTATTCCTACATCATGTTGATTGAAAACAACACGAGTTGCTTTTACTTAAAACTCAAACTAGACATATACACTGAGACAGAGGAGTAAAATTTTGTAGACAACAAATAGTACCCTCATTCCTACATCTCGATGGGAATTGCCATAAGATGCTTTCACTTAATGCTTATCTATGGTGTACAGTGCGGATGCCAAAAGTTGTTAGTGGTGGGATAAACACTATTATTGCTTAGATATTACTACCTCCATCCCAGATTATTCATCCAGTTTGACTTTTTGAAGTTAGACTAGATGAACGATTACATAAAAATTACATTGCATAATAATGCATTGAAATAATATTTTGAAAGGTTTCTGCAATATAAATCTAATGAAATTATTTTGCATCAATCTCCAATGCAATTTTAATTTAATTGATGATCAAAGTTCATCAACACACTTTGACTAAAAAAAGTCAAAGTGGATAAATACTCTAGGTTGGAGGCAGTATCTTACACTGATTTATGCAATGTATGACATATAGATTATACGGAGTATTTTATAATGCATCTTAGCTCTAAATAATACTCCCTCCGTCCAACAATTGATTTCCCATATTGACTTTACATGGATATTGAGAAAAGTTGGAATATGCTTTGACTTTCATTATTCTCTTTCGTGCAAATACTTTTTAGCCAGATAAAATATAATGTGGCTGGCCTGTAGCACACTAGCGCAACCTCGACGGAGGACGAAGGCAGAGCTGATATTTCAAGAAGAAAAAATCAAACAATATTTATGTGGCAGCGGTGATGACGGAAGACCGGGGATTGACAGATCTATAAAATCGGCGGCGGCGGCGGCAATGGAGGAAGAACAGAATATGAAATCGACGGCAGCGGTAATGGAGGATGAATAGATCTATGAAAATGGAGGATGAACAGATTTATGAAATCAACGGCGGCGGTGGTGTAGATCTACGCATTTGAAGGCAATAAAGGAGCAGATCTGAGGCGCCAAAATGGTGATAGTTGAGGCGCCAAGGAAGTGATGACGGCGACCCACAATATCTCTGAGGAGGCTAGAGGAAGTAGGCGATGATGACAATGGATGAGGAAGAGGATAATAGATGAAGAGGAAGACATTGTAAATTGAAAGAGGAAGTTGACAATGGAGAGGTAACACTGTATATTGAAAGTGGAAGTAACGTACGAGGGAAATAAGGGTGTTTCTTTCCAAGAGCAATTAGAAGGAAATAACTACGGGAGGGTATAAGAGACATTTTGGTGTATTTTTTGCCAAAAAAAAACAAGGAGAAAATTTATGGACGGACAAAAGAGGAAAGTGGGAAGAAAATTTATGGACGGAGGAAGTATATTTTGTTGACAATTTTAGAATTGAAGTAAACATAAATATTTCACCACTAGATTGACTGGATTTTTATCTGCCCCACCTAGCCTCCAAAGTCCCATTGTCCCACTATTTTTGTCCATTGCACTATATTTTGTCACATACCATATTTGGATATATTGGTGTGGTTCAAATTTATTCTTACTTTATCTTACTTTTTGTTATCAATATCAACCACACAATCCTACATTTCTTAATTTTTGTGCCACTCCATATCCCAAAGATAGTGGGATGGAGGGACTATAACTTATGTCACATGCAATAGTTTTATTACTTCTTTGTATCCTTCTTATTCTCAAAATCAGCGACAACAGCAAACTGAATGAGGGATATGCATAAGTCTCACGTACAACTCTCATGATTCCATTCAGTTCATCAGGTGTCTTACTGGACAAAATTGCAACAAAGTGCAGCATGAAAGAGAAATCGAAGTATGGCACTTTGCTGATAATTTCCTCAGCAACCTGAAATTTTACCAAATCGGTAATTGTTTAACAGAATGTCATTATTAAATTTTCAAATCAACGCTACAATTACTAACCGCATCAAGGGCAAACAGTTTAGCTTCAACATCCATCCAAGGAATGTGTATACTATTCATCCATCCTCCTGTGAATATCTGATATTTGATGTTCATAAGAAAACAAAAATGTAAGGCACTAAACCTAGTAGTGCAATCAGCGTAAGAGATTTGAAATTTATGGTATCGAAGAAGAACTTAGAATTTATTTTGTTCTTAATCATTTACGCGCTAATAGTTAAGCCATTAATGGTTTAATGACATCATGATTATTCCACAAAGCACTTTTAGGAGTTTGAAGGATCTCAGGCAAACCCTCAAAGGGCCTTGAGAGTCTGGCACCAAAATTGAAAGGCAAATTCTACGGAACCATTAATTGGTTCGGTTTGACTTTTTTGAGTCAAACTGAACAAACTTTGGACCTCAATTAAATAAATATTGTTATTTGTTTAAGTATATAAATGACTTCATAAGATTTATCTTGTTGAGAAGTTTCAAAATTTTATTTCAGTGTACTAATATGCAATAAAAATTGAGAGCAATTGATAATTAAAATTCATCCACTTTGACTCGGAAAAGTCATAATGGACAAATACATTGAGACGGAGGCAGTATAAGGTATAGTTTTGGCAAGTTAGGGCCCCCCGTGTGCAATGCAAAAGATGGGAGTAGCCAAAATGAGGATGCTTACATGGATGTATGGACATACTAGGAGGAATCAGGTAAAAAACATGGATAGACGACATGTTGGGAGTTGAAGATGTTAGAAGGTGTTGTGGATGTGTTGTGAAGTGAGCTAGCAAGGTGTTGTGAATGTTGTATAGTGAGCTAGGAAGATGACGTGATAGTTGTAAAGTGTGCTTTATCTTAAAACTAAAGCTAGAAATAATACCAAATTTACTGCTTAGATAGAAAACGCAGCAAATAATTGCATGTAGAACTTCCAGAAATTTGAGACGTCCTATAGGATTCCCAAACATTTGAGCTGGATTGGATGGGACTGCTGGATATTTGACCTGGGACCGTATTAAGACAACACGAGAATGCCATCGGTTGAGTTAGTGCAGCATGGGACTGTCAAATATTTCTACTGGAGTGAACTGCTTTCTCAAGGATCTTCTCTTTTTCTTCTTATCTTTACTTATAAATCAATGTAAACTTGGGACACAGAGGATAGAAGCTCCAAACAAATATAATTATTGGGGGATAATGAAGAAAATATTTGAAACTTTGAAGTAAAATGCTAATTAAACTGCATAGAAACTAATATATTGTTTTGACGCAAAAAAAACCCCCATGGTGTTATAGTGTTGACTGCTAAGAGCTTAGCTTGACTAAAATTGTCATTTCTCAAACTTACTGAAATTATTATCTACTTCAGATAAGAACTTGTGTTTTCAAGTCTAGATTTTCCTGATTGTATCTGCTACTTCATTTATTAGTAAAATGTAATCCCCGGTCCTGCTGTTTGTCCCATTTCTATTTTAGTTTAAAATGTTTGTGAGATGTTACTTTTAATTGATTTTATTTAAATATTGGTGTAAATATAGAAAATGATATATATATATATATATATTTAAAACTTACATAAAAAGTTCTACAAAACAAAAGGTCGCAAGACTTATTTAAAGTTTTAAGAAACCACAGATGAAAATACATAATGAAAGAATATTTAGTTTAATCATGTAATAGTGTATAGGACAAAAATAGTGAGACGGAGGGAATACTTAATATTTGTAGTGCTAGATCACAATAACGACATTGAAATATGAATCCAGCAGGCTTAGATGATGAAATGAAACTACATTCCGCTAGGCTCTGATTTCCTAAATAAAACATGGAGTTTTTGGTTTTGGATCCCCCCTCCCCGTGTTTAATGGCCTACAAGTTTGTTGTCTCATATCACACAGAGCATTGGTAAATCAAGATAATGTATAGTTCCAACTTCCAACAACTAATCATACACTAATCTCATTTCATAGAGCTTACAACTCTCTTTACCTTCTGCAAAAATGGAGCAGGAGATAGAATCTGACAAATATCAATCAGAGGTTCTACCAAATTCATTCTGAACTGCATAAGGCTATCTGGAAAATCAAGTGCTGTTCCGCCATCAGAAGTAGAATTAGTATTACCCAACTGTCGAAAAAATAGGCAGGCATGAGAGGAGTATATACCTTTGTCAAGTTTACGAAACAGTTCCTATCTAATTGTTAACTATGAAACACTGAAAAATTTAGCAGATCAAAATCTTCAGAAGCTCTTAAATCTGAAAGATGAACCAAAAGAAAGATATACAACTGATTACCATCAGTTGGATCAGACTTGTTAAATCCATCACTTCAGCAAAATAATGAAGAAACGAATTGATACAGCCTTAACTCAATCTGGCAAATAGCCACAGGATGTCAAAATCACAACTTTGAGTGTGATTTAGATTTAGTAGTTGCAAATCGTAACTCGGTCAAGTGAATCACTTTCCCCATAAATCAATTAACTAAACTATCATCGCATCCTACAAAACTACATTGTAGTCCATCATCGAGCTTCTCTCCTTTGGTGGCATCTCCTTCTCCGGCAAACATCCACGACTACCACTGGCAATGTCTTTCTCTCCGACAAGATCATCTATTTTCAAAGACAAGTTATTGGTGACGTTCTTTTCTCTTACTTAAATATTGTACAGTACTAAAATGTCCCATGTATGGTGCTGTTTTACTTCTTGGTTTTCTGTTGTTTTCTTAAGGCCTTTGTAATATCATTAATATGGCTTCCTGTATTTTGGTTTTCACTACATATGTTTATATCCGTGTATGTTTTAAGCATGCAATTGAGTTGCGTATGGTCTTCAATTGTCTCTTTTATGTTCTTTTCTGTTGTTTTCTTAAGGCCTTTGTAATATCATTAATATGGCTTCCTGTATTTTGGTTTTCACTACATACGTTTATATCCGTGTGTGTTTTAAGCATGCAGTTGAGTTGCGTATGGTCTTCAATTGTCTCTTTTATGTTCTTTTCAGATAGATACTCGGTATAATGCTTGAGCAAAAACTGAAGTTCTGGGTTGGAGTTATGGCAATGTTCGAAATGCCGTATTGCAGTTTTGAGGCCTTTTTACCCCATTGTGTTAGCCTCAATGTGAATTGAAGGGTAAGCCTCATTTTAAAGTACTAAGATAGTAAGATGTACATAAATTATTATTAAAATAAAAAATATAACATTATTAATAGCATAATTAATCCATACAAGTTAAAGACATATACTGTTAAAGTAAAATGTTTCAAAAGCAACAAAGTCTACCATGACATAATACAAAATATTAGTTGTAGAGTTGTAGGCAACATACTTAAATTGTCGAATGTTGGGTCCAACATTTAAGAAATCTGCTTTAAAAAGATAAAACTAAAAAATTTATGAAAATAAAATTTTCAAGATTTAATGGCAAAATAGTAACAACAAAAACTACAACAATCAGAACTAGTTGGATCCCTCGAAGGTAGGGTCTGGGGGAGGGTGTGTGTACGCAACTTTGCCCCTGCCCGAAAGTAGAGGGGTTATTTCCATGAGGCCCCTAGCTCCAGCTACAAATAAAAAAATACATAAAGCAGGGAAAGCACAGATTCAATGTAAATAAAGCATCAAGCACCCAGAATAAAAACTAAGCTAAATAAACTAAAGTTACGAAATTAGGGTATTGCAAGCAAATAGAACCATGCAGAAAAGGCCTATAAAAGCACACAACAACAACACATCCTAGCTCAAGGCACCTACCCAACTACTCTAATTTTCTCTCCAAACACTCCTATTGAAGGCCATGTCATCAATAAGGACAAAAAGCTCTAAGTCTTGTCTAATCACCTCCTTCCACCTCTTCCCAAGTCTACCCCTTCCCCTACTTCTCCTACCAACGTAAGCCTGTCGCATCTCTGCACTCGAGCGACAACATTCCACTATCTCACATGACAGAACCACCTCAACCTAGCCTTCCGAAGCTTAACTTCCACTGGCACCATACCTAACCGACCTTGAATAACCTCGTTTGGAATCCTATCCAGCCTCATATGCCTACAAATCCACCGCAACATCCGCATGTAAATGACGCACGTGAAACTTCTTAACTGCCCAACACTTCACCCCATAGAGCAAGCTAGTCTGACTACATACCGGTAGAACTAACCTTTTATGCTGGGCGAAATCTTCCTATTGCACAACACCCCTAAAGCCAACCTCCACTAAGCCCAAGCTGCTCCAACACGGTGCACAACATCCCTGTCTAACTCCCCCTGAATGACCGAGCCAAGATACCAAAACTTGTCAGCCTTGGGCACTAGGTGAGAGTCAATCCTCACTTCCACCTCTGAATCTGTCTCCCGGTCAACAAAAAACTAATAGCGATAAACTAATAGCGATAGATTAGTAGCAAGTTAGTAAGAATAAAATTTTATCATTTAACAAATAGAAATGAATAGCAAACAAACAAAAGAAGAATGAGAGACCAAAGAGGAGATGAAGATGGGGAGATGAAAATGGACGAAGAGTGATGTAGTAGCAGATGAACATCAAGATGAGCGTGTAGAAGACCGGAGTGGAGATTGGAGGCGTTGATAGACAATGGTTTGGTAATTTAATGTTTAAATTTTTCTAATTAAATTACTAACTTAAACTTAATCAAAAAAATTTTAAAAGATGGTTTACGTCTCCTTCCGACTCATGGCCTCATGGTGTACGCCTACTTGCGTAGTAACTTCCTATGGCTAGATTGCCACAAGGTGTTTCTCTTTAGAAATAGACATGAGGCATGAGGCAGGCAATATGGCGTATTGCGCAATGCCATTTTGAACATTGAGTCATGGGAAGTGGTTTTCATATGTTTGGCAGTAATGATCCTTGTTATGGGCCTGGGATCTAAGGTGGAAAAGCTCTGACTTGTGGTGACCATAATAATCATAATAGAACATAATTGCCTTCTTAAATAGAGGCATACTTTCCTAAATGTGAAAGGAAACTTAATAATATAATCTAACCAAATAACTAGGGGCCAAATTGAAGTCCTGGGCTCTTGGCCAATAATTAATTGTGAACAAAATCAGAAACCAAATACAGGTATAAGACCAACTAATACTAATAAGAAACTACTATTTTGAGTGCACTACAAAGAAAATATTGGTCGTATAAGAGTTGTTCTAAATGATAAGACTTCAATATTTCAAGTCTTAAGACTAAAATTTAAACATCTAAAATATTAATATATGTAGTTTTCTTGATTTTTTAGTTGTATAGTTTTAACATTTAAATAATTTATATCAACAAATTGTGACTTGCAAGTTGCAACTTAAAAAGAATCACAGCTACATCAATTTGGTGTGGTTTTCCATTTATATGAGTTTGGTCTCTACGACACTTAAGCTGAATTTACAATGAAAAGAGATGAGCAACCTAACTCTATCATCGTTGTTAATTAAGCCTCATCTATATTCCAACAATATTATGTTCCTCAGATGAACATGTTGAACCCCTACAGAAGAGACATGCATGCATGCATGCATGCATGCACGCATGCACGCATGCACGCGTGCATATATTAGTTAGGGGTATTAATGTCATTTGTTGAATAAAAAACTTTCCATTTCATGTAATGGGAAGTTAGTTTTAGGACAACCCAAAATGGAAAGTGGGAAGTTAATTTTTGGACAGAGGGAGTAATTCCAAGGAGGGAGGTTGAAAGTTATCAAATGTCTTTAATGCCCTTAAAGTAAAAAAATGGAGTGGTGCTCGTGCACTAGGCCATCGGATGTCAATCGATGTGCGGAAAGGGCCTTGACAATCCATGAACAGCAATCTGGCCGTTAAGCACCACATCAAGCCTCTGGATCTTCACAAAATTGATCATCATCAACGCGTTAAAGATGTTTCCGTCCCCGGCAGCAGTCACCCCAGGCTCCACCAGTGTTCTAGGGTCGGTAGTACAGTCCCCTGAGGCAGAGTGATCAAATCGGAGGCCATCAGAAGCTGTTCGGCACAACTTGGAACCCTAGATTGAAGACGGTCAAACCATCATCATCAAAGCTGATCTCTTCATCAAACTCAGTTTCAGGAATTAAGTATTCAAATTCATAAATGGAGAGTGAACCAGATTCGAATCCCGTCTAGATCTAAGATTTACGAAACAGCAACGATAAATGTGGGGGGAGTGTAAATTGGGTGGGGTAGTAAATGAGGTGATGTGAGGGCACTAAATGAGGTTATAGGAATTAGTGAAGGGTAAAGCTGGAAATTCATTTAAATCTGTTTACTAAATATAGAAAGTGGGCAAATATAATGGGACGGCCCAAAAAGGAATACTGGACAAATATAGAGGGACGGAGGAAGTAATTTGCTACAACAAACCGATTTAGGAAAAGAAGGGGAAAATATAGCAATATTTTGTTGTTAATCTTAATTAAACAAAAAAATTACATAAATAATCTAATATCATCTTAATCAACAAAGAAACATTATTATGAAATATTACAAATTTGCAAAGGGAAATATAGAATAAATTAATTAATTTAACATTTTATTATTGGATATTGAATCTATAATGGTAATTAACATTTCTTTTGGGGACAAATGAAGTACTTTTTTTTATAATATTTTGATATTACTTTTATTTTCTATTTCATTTTAATTACAACATTGATGATGATTATGAAAATAATAATAGTAACAATTAATAATAATAATAATGATAATAAGTTTAGTAATAGTAATAATAATAAATGTGATGAAAATAAGAAAAAATACACTTAAATAATTTTTTTAGGTCACAGTTGGAAGAAACATGAAGGAGGTGAAAAAAACGAGTTGGAAGAAAATTGAAAAGAATTGGAAGAAACTGGAAGGAGTGTGAAAAAATGGGAAGGAGTTGGAAAAAACCAAAAAGAGTTCGAAAAAACTGCAAGGAGTTAAAGGAAACTGGAAGGAGTTAAAGAAATATTGTTACTTGTCCAACCCAAAAGAACATGTAAAGCTGGACCCAAGATTGGAAAATGTCAAGGAAAATAGTACTTGTTGGTTCAGGTTCATACTTTGCTAAGAACTTCAACCGATTCAACCGATCAACGGGATGACATGTACTGATCAGCCAAACAAGGCTCTGAACAGTCCGGCAGAAAGGATAGCAATTGCCATAGAACGAGAGGTGTTGTCCCTCTTTGGAACCACAATTGCACAATCAGGTATTCAAGTTTGCACCATGTTCTAAATTAACAATAGTTGCAGCTTGTTATCAGTGTAACAAGCACTCAAGCACTAGCACTAGCACTCGCACACGGAAGCTCCCAGACTGGACAATGCAGAGTAACATCACCCTGCACATTGACCTACTAAGGTGGCTCCCAATTATTTCTATCTTGCCTTCTCAGATGGTCCTTTGTTTTTGGCACTTCACATATCAAAAGTTTCCACCTATTCACAAATTGGTTGGCAAAAGCCAGTATATTGTCTTCTCTTAATCCTCTCTTTTATGATAGCATATTTCCTCTCTCCGTTGTCTATATGGAGTCTATGCTACTACAACAACAACCCAGTATAATCCCAAGTTTGTTGGGGTTAGGGGGGTCAAGAGGTACACAGTTTTACCCCGGTAAAAATAGAGGTTGTTTCTTTTAGACCCTAGATGCATTGCTGCATTTACTGCCCAAGACTTCATGGAAAGTAAGAAGTGAGGGAGTTTAAATCGCCATTTTTTATTTAGTCAATTACATGCCCAAAACTACAGCATTGTCAATAATGACTCTTTTCGCTCCAAGGTCAAGATGTACACAGTCGTAATCTCTATGCTACTATCATGCTGAATTTAACACTTCTAAAGTTCTAATATGAGTCTTGTCATAAACATTGGGCAATCATGCTTAAAGGTAAGAGCAGAATGGGGTTAAGCTGGATGGTAAAAGACTACTGATTACGTATTGTTTCAAGTACTGAGATATCTCTACAAGGAAATGGAGATATTGACCAAAACATGAAACAAAAGATTAATGCATAAATGGAAAGGAGCAACATGTGTACTGTGAGTGAAAGGTAATATTGAAGGAGAATTTTTTAGTACTACTTCAGGAACAGCATTATTATACGAATATGAATGTTGGGCGGCAAATGAAGATTTGATAGCGAACATTATGGCAGAGATGCATACTTGTTTAACATATCCTGATATTAGTACAATGTATTTGTTTATAATAAACAAATATATCCTGATTGAATATATTTGTATAATAAACAAATATATTTTGTACACACACTCACCCCTACAAACAACACAAACCTGAGATCGCAAAAGAAGAGTATCCAGCAATGTTGAAAGAATAGGAAAAAACATTTCTTCAACATCCTTCCTATTTTCCCAAGTATTTGCACCAATCCCAAGAATATAGCCCATGAGTCTAGACCTGCAAAATATAGTGGATAAACATTTTGAAAGTTAAAAAAATAGAAAAACAATACCCTATGTTTGAGCATGTTAATATTTGAGGACTTCATCCACATTGGTCCACCTTTATTTTGAATGTAAGGATGCTTATACGGTGTACATATCTTTTAACAAAAGAAAATGATGACTACCAAAACTGCAAAGTTGAATCTGCTATCTCCCACTCTTCACTTTGATATGCTAAACAACTGTGATCAAGTATGAAATGTCAGATATGGTGAGTCATCTTAAACACTAACCACATAAATTAATGTTTGGTCATCAACAGCATGAAACACACAATAACATGCACGAGTGAGCAGTTTCCGTCAGAAATAGTGCAATCATCTCCAAAGCTAGAAAGTTATATATGTCACAGTACACATATGTCATATATTTGCCTAGGACTCAAACAAATATATAAGTTGAAGGAAATCGGGATTGTGTAAAATGAAGGAATTTGAAATTGAGAGAAATAATCAGAGGGATAATTCTAAGTTGATTTAAGAGATAGCACACTCTTGAATTGCCTTAGGGCTTTTATCGATTTTAAACTTCAATAATCTCTACTGAAGAATAAAAATAGACTCCTAATTCACACTCTTAGTAGCCAAACTAATGAGATAATTTAGGAAAGGAATAAAATTGTGTCTCACAATTTTAGAAATTCTAAACAAGGTAAAACTCAATATATTCAAAGGTAATGTTGTCTTTCATTCTCAAGATTGCATACACATTTATACTAGTATACATGGCCAATCATTAAATGATTGTTGAGAGTGAAAACAATGAAAATACACGCCTAACTTCCTATTAAAATTTTGGCCAGCACACTAGGAAATACAACAAGGGTATTAGAATTCAAACAAATATGATAATAAAGACAAATCACTCTTCACTAAAGACTTTAATGGACTCCTTCACTGTTGGAATCTCTGCCAGATTTCTTCAACCAGGAAAGTGCATCCCATTTGTCCAAAAGTGTAGAAAATCAATCCCAAATATGACAAAACACAAGTTGCAAACATAATACTGCTCATGAACAGTGTTATGATTTGTTATCATTCTCCTATAGCATATTTTCAGTCACATGAATATTTGAAGCCATGATACTGATCACAATTCTCAGCCAAGAGTATTATGAAGGGATAGATTCTATTTTATTTATTATCTAGGTAGAAAATAATAAATAAAAGGGTTGAATCCTTAGGTTGATTTTGGCAAATAATGGAAATTAAATCAAAAGAGTAAGAATGAAAATTTTGGGCATTTTAGGTTCTAGAGATCCAACCCAAAATGTAACATATCACTTTGGAAAAAAGGTGCTAATTCACTAACCAATCCCGGGACTATGAAGGCTATCCTCATATATATCAACATACTCACAAATAGTGAAACCGCTCTAGATACAGCTCTACAATCAGACCCACTTTACTGTCAAAAAATGCTGTCTAAATAAAGAAAAAAATGAAGGAACTGTGATAGTTTCTTTCTGGAAGATGAAAATACGCAGCATCAGTGCAACCCTAAGTGCTCATTCCAAACACTTTAGCACTATGATATAGAGCATTGCCACAGGTTTTCTAACGTTGGAAAAAACTCCATTTTAAGGTTTTCACAATAGTGCAACATGAATCTACTGGGAAAAGACTAAGCCGCCAAAGAGTAACACATCAAAGAATAGCATGATTTCCGATGGAATAACATCTTGTCATTCAACAGATTAGTTACACCACATGAGGTAATAGTTTTGAACTAGAACGCATGGAACATTTCAATATTTTCTTTTTGATAACCCATGTTCGGGCTTTGCCCAATAATCATGGACCTGTGAACAACCCACTGAAACTTATAGGTAGGTAAATCCAGATTCTCACTTCATCTAGACAATGTAAAAGGTACTTGTGCCACAACGTGGACCTTGCTGGGGGATTACATCACCTTTAAGGATAGATTTTTCCTCCCATAAATCGAACCAACAACCTCTTATAATCCTCTCCGCCTACTACCACCTGTTCACCCCCAAAGGGACAACATTTGATAATAAAAAAGCATGGATGTAACGCCTGACCTCAAGAGTGCATCTGTTAGCAGAAAAGCTTCAGGACTTGCTTTGATAATCAAAGATGGTGCCTATTGTACAAGGAAATGTGAAGATCTAAATAAGTTTTGCCAAGTTCGATGATACTATATGACCCGATGTATTTAAATATAACATTACAAAAGTTTATGATTCTTACAGCTAGACCAATTTCTGACATCAGGCATGCCAGGCCACTTATTACAGCTTTATCTCCATTATTAAGAGCGGGAAGGAGGATATCGATAAGATATCCAACTCTACTGAGCATAACCTGTGGCAACCCCTATAAGAACAAAGACCAGCTCTGTAACATCTTATGCCTAGACACTTGAAAGAACAACCATACATCTACTTCTTCAAATCTTTTTTTTCTATAAAGGCATAAAGTGTTCTAAAAGAAAATTTTATGCAAAAGAAAATAACACACTAAAGTCATTTTATATTACCTCATGTCGAATCAAAAGTTCTATAAGAATTTCAATTGCTAGATCAAATGAAGAAGAACCCTATCATGCATTTAAAGAGAAGTTAATCCTTACGATCTCAGTTATCAATCATAACAAAACCAAACATATGAATAATTGAATAAAATGTTTCTAATAGAAGCCACAACTAATTTTGCAGTTCAAATACCTGCAAAGAATCGAAAACAAAATTCAAAACTGGATGTGTGGGGAATAACTCAGGAGGAATCTCAGAGAAGCATCCAGCACGAACCTAAATGAATGCATATAGATACGCTTTAGAGTAGAAGTTTAAGAGCACAGCCAAAAAAAATTTAGTATAAATTTGGAAAACAGTACAGGGTCGATATGATTCTATCTTGCTAACCTTTTTTGCAATAGGAGTTGAATAGAGATCACATAAAGAAGGAAATGCATTAGAAGTCGGATTGATTCACGATTTAACACAATATTATTCAACAATTATCAATCCATGGGTAACTTTTTATTGGAACGTTAATTTTTAGACTTGAAAATGAGGCATACAGTATTTTTAATGGAAAAAAATGAAGTGTGTGATTAAGTGTGATATGTGAACACTGTTATCAAAAAAGAATAATTTATGGAATTGAATCACTCAACAGAGAAATCAAGGCTACATGGAATCAATAATATGCGCGTACTGTAATTCCAAAAGGGTAAATTATGGGATTGAATTGATAAAAAAATCAAGGCTAACTAATACATTCCAGTTAGCCT